TTGCACTTGGCTTTGTTGAACCTCATGAGGTTCACACAGGCCCACCTCTCCAGCCTGTCCAGGTCTCTTTGGATGATATCCCGTCCTTCTGGCGTGTCAACTGCACCACTCAGCCTGGTGTCATCTGCAAACCTGCTGAGGGTGCACTTGATCTCACTGTCTACATCATTGATTAATACATTAAACATATTAATAATGTTTATAAGCATAACATAAACATAGCATAAACAAATACCCAGTACGGACCCCTGAGGGACACCACTCATCACCAGTCTTCATCCGGACACCGAGCCGTTGACCACTACCCTCTGGATGTGACCATCCAACCAATTCCTTATTCACCAAACAGTCCACCCATCAAATCCATAGCTCTCCAATTCAGAGAGAAGGATGTTGTGGGGGACCATGTCAAAGGCTTTGCAGATAGTCCAGATAGATGACGTCCGTTGGTTTTCCCTTGTCCACTGTTGTTGTCACACCATCATAGAAAGCCACTAGGTTTGTCAGGCAGCACCTGGTGAAGCCATGCTGGCTATCTCGAATTACCTCCCTGGCCTTCATGTGCCTTAGCATAGCTTCTAGGAGGATCTGTTCCATGATCTTCCCAGGCACAGAGGTGAGGCTGACAGGTCGGTAGTTCCCAGGATCCTCCTTTCTACCCTTTTTGAAAATGGGCACAATGTTTCCCTTCTTCCAGTCACCAGGGACTTCACCTGACTGCCATGACTTTTCAAATATCATGGAGAGTGGCTCGGCAACTACATCAGCCAGTTCCCTCAGGACTCTGGGATGCATCTCATCAGGTCCCAATGATGTAGAAGAAGATCTCAAGGGAGATGGAGGCAGCAGGGTTATTGCACATTAACATGCAAAGAAAGTACTGTGGTATAGATGAGGTGCTTGGAATGGGAGTGTATGGCAAGTCCCACAGAAGAACACTGTTTCCATGTTGAGCGGGGAGCAATGCTGCCTCATACTGGGAGGCCCTTGGACCTCTCTTTGTGCTTTCTGGAGGTGTGTTAGTTGCACCAAGAGGTGCAGAAGGTTTCAGACTTTGTCTTGCCCCTCATGTGTTACCTGCTAAGCCTTCAGTCTGGTGATGCACAGCAGTGTCTCAGAGAAACAGGATCTCAATTCTTCAGAAGACAAAAATGCCAGAAACCTTTGGAAGGCTACGACAAAAATACCAGTGGCAACAAGGAGGTATTCAAGGTTTATTTAGTTTTTAATCTTTTTTTCCAATAAAACCTTTTGGAGCATTTTAATACTGTTAAAAATTTGGCCTTTTTTTTTAAAGCATATACACTCAGCTGCGTGTTGGCACGAGAACCAGAACCATGAAACCTGCCAGGTAAAAGTGCAGAGGTGCTCAGGCAAAGCACAGGGTGCAGCCGTGTTCCTGGAGCACCTGCACCTTTCCACTGCATGCTTGCTTGGTGGGTGAGAGCACAGAGAGGCTGAACCACAGACCCTGTCTCTCTGGAGCACAGGAAGGGTTGCTTCTCCCAGATCTCCCTAGGGTTTTGGAGAGCTCAGAGGTCACAGCAGGCATTCATCATCCCACCGGCCAGGTCTGCCGCCTGCTTCACGGGAAATACTTTTCCACTGCCCTTTAAATGTTGTGCGTCCTAGCTGGTCTGTGGTGGCCCGGGCCAGGTCCTAGCCATTGGTACTTTGTTGCGGGTTTGGTTCAGTATTGCTGAATTTGCACTTTTTGCTGCTTCTCGTTTTCCCTTTTGAGAAAGGGGAAGTTTTGTACTTGCTTGTAAGCCTCATGGCTCCTTTGCTTTGTTCCCATTCCTTCATTTTGACCTTTGTTGTTGTTCAGGAAACACCATTGGTCACTGAGGCATATCTTTGTACTTTAAGCACTTTCCAGTTTAATAATCATAGGAAGGCTAGTTCGCAAATGTAACCCTTTTCAAGTCTTCTTATTGTTTAAGTGTACAGGCTTTTAAATTTAACAGACTGGATCAACTGCTTCTGGCTACAAGAGATGCAAAAGGTGAATAAACTGCTTATGATAAACCTTGAGATGTTGAAATTGTGCATCTCTTGGAACTGTTCATACCACTGCTTTCATTTCTAAAGAACAAAAATTAAAGTTTACTTGGTAAAATAGCTGGTTTTACCACTGAAAAACAGCTGAGTCTGTATCACAAATATCCTGATGATATCAAAATAATGTGGATGTCAGACCTATAGCACCAGCTGCTTTCCTCTACAGATCTGCTTTTATCATGCCACACTATGTGCTAATGTGGAAATAGCCAATATTAATGACAGAGTTCCTCCTCTCAAGGCTCTCAATGGGAAAATGCTTTGCCTAACAGTTGTTGATCTACTTATTCTTTCTTATGCTTTTCAAGTTATATGACTTTCAGATGACTTCATCATCTAAAAGGCAGAGCTGCTGGAATAGTTCTTCCTTGAAATATTTACCAGACTAATTGTCAGTGCGTCTTTAATACCCATTGGAATTATATTGAAAAATACATATGAATAAATTAGTATTCCATTGGTCTGTTTCTTGGTAATTTGTAATACAGAGAGGAATCAAACTCTAGATGTGTGCATTTATGCATTTCATAAATGCCTACAAAGCTTCATATCTACATGCTTTATTCATTCTAAGCCCAGGGGTTTTTACTAAATCCGATTTTATTCACAACAGTTACCAATGTAATAATGTTTTTAAGGGTTTGTGGTCCAGGAAATTAATATAATTCTCATGAAAAGCATTTGTGATTTTCTTTTATTAATGTTAACAAAAAAAAAATCAATTGTATGCATCAAAACCAATAATGTAGGATTAGACTGAAAACAGGACATAGTAATGAGCCAATAGATCCATATTTGCAGACGGCAATGGACACAGGAAGAAAAAGACAGAGAATATTAGGATTCTCACATATTTCTTAAAAACAAGTGATGTAGCCTTGAACTATCATAGGAACAAAGAAGCCCAGCTGCATTCATGGAATAATAATGTATTCGAGTTTTGAACTTCACCTGAGGACTTTCCAGGGACTAATTGAAGTTTACTTGCTAAGCAAGCTCAACAGCCACAGGGATTCTTTTGAAAGCTGTGTTTTATCACAAAACTCCCATGGAGGTATCCTATTCTTTAACATCACTTGCAGGATTTTTCATAAAAATCAAAATGTTCTCAAATTTGAAGTGTCATTCAATGTTTTAAACAAGAATTCAGACAGCTTTGCCTGGTGGTTCTCACTGAGTTCTGGATCATCTGGATCATCCAGATACTCATGTCTCAGGCTTTGAATCTATGCCCTCTGAGAAGGCATAACTGCATCTGCACAAAGTTAGATCTCTTTGTGATCTCTGAAGTGGAAGGGAGACTCTCCATGACTTTGGAGAACCTCTGCAAGAAATTCACAACTAGGTGAGGAAATAATGGCGAGAGGACAACCCTGGTGATAGTGGATGTGTATACCATTTCCAAACAGCTAAGGAAAAAAGCTAAAATTTACATAGGCACCAGTCAAGAACCTGCATAGCAGAATCTTATCGACAAGCATCTCCTCCAGACTGGAGATCTCAAAGCCCATGTTTCAGGAACAACATGGATTTGTCAGCAGGATGCTACCAGGAAATGGGATGAGCACAGCCCGTGGCTTTCTATGTAATGGACTCCCGAAGACTTGGAGTCATGCCTGCAGCTTGTTCCTTGAGTGAAAATCATTTGGCCCCTTCCTGACCGGTGGGTGCCTCTATTCTCTGTTGGCTCAGTCTTTGCTCAGCTCAAGCAAACCTGAAACCAGTATGAGAAGGGAAAGGAGTAAACATGCTTGCTGCTGTTTCCTCACCTGCAAGTATGTCTTTGCTATGGAAGCTTCCCAAATGGGCATTTCTTGGATTAGGATTTCCACTTGGAGAAAATATTGAAGAGATGAGATTACGCTACAATGTTACGGAAAAGGGGTCTGTTTCTGGGGGGAAGGCAAGCATTATTTCCACCTTTTTCTTCTTAGGGGGAACAATATCTACCAAAGAAGAGGATGCTGTTGGTTGGATTGTGCTTGATCAAGAAAAGGAAAGGGTGGTCAGCCCTAAACTCTTCAGACTCAGAGGAGTCTTTGATGTCTCCCATCACCTCCGCTGAGCCTGCTATCTCGGTGCCTTCTTCATTGACTTCCATGTATGCCTCATGGATGGCCTCAGATAACTTCAGGCTCTCTGCTGAAGAGATGCCAGACAGATTGGCCGAAGGACTGAACAGGTCGCTCATACCCAAGGCCATTAAGACAGATGTGAGGTTATATTTTTCCTCAATCTTCATGCGTGGGAGGTACACTTCCACTCTCCTCTTTTCCATCACATTGGGACTGGTCCATTCCGTAAGTTTTTCAAAGCTGATTTTGTTCTCAAGCTGCAAAGAGGTGCAGGGAATTAAATGCCTGTGATGCGAATACAACTTCTTCCTACCATTCATTTTAATCAAGGCTATCATAAAGAAAACAAACCAGAATGGTTCCTGAAGTGCATCCCATCAACATCCTTCTGGTAGTTTATTATTTTCCTCTCCAGTGCTGCCTGTGTCACTGTCCTTTTATTCAGTTCCTTACCTACCTAACACATCCCCTTCTGTTCAACTAATCTTATGTCTCATGAGGCACAACCGAACCTTTCACAGGCTAGCAAATTAGTCAGCTTGTAAAAGAGATTGCAAAAAAAGGCCATGGAAATGTACCTACAGTTGGTAGTACCTAACAAATGAAAACTCTTCTACATTTTTAATAATTCTTGTTTGTAACATAATTCCAAAAAAAATTGCTGAAATAAGAATAATGGGTTGTATAATGCAGGCTACATCACTTTTTCCCTTTCCTGAGTACAGATAGGTAATTTGATAACACTTTGATAACTTTATTTTAAATGATTGACATTGGAATTCTTTTTTTTTTGCTACTTCTTTCAGAAATTCTGCATGCAGATAATCCAGTCCACCTGACAGAAGCAAATTAAGGTTTCAAGTTTTGTTTCTCCCTTGCATCTGTCCATTTTTATTTCCTCTTTGCAATTAGCATCCTGTATTCACTCAGTTGTTTAGGTTCATTTTCTTCCAAGACCAAGACAAAAGTTTCATGTAATTTTGCAGTCAGTGCATTACATTTGTATTCTTGCCTCACTGCATACTGGCCCCACTTTTCTGTTTCTTTTTTTGTTCTTTAAAGGATAAAACCATTTTTTTACTAGTTTTCATGATTCTGGCAAAAACCAACTCAACATGATGTTTTGATGTTTTCTTTTACTTTCTATGCTGTTCTCATTTTCTCTCCTTGTACATCCATGGATTCTTTGTGCTGTTGGTGTTAAACACATTAGACCAAAGTCTTTTCTGTTTTCTTTGTCTAATGTGTAATATCCAAAAATATTCCATGCATTTCCTTTCTATCTCTATATTTAAGACTCTCTGAAGTCTTACATGATGAGGCGTTATTGATGAGTTAGTTTAGCTTTTTTGGTTTCACCATTTTAAAATCAAGAATATTTTATTAAGAACATGCTTTATCTAACTTTGACGTTCTTTCCATGATGACATAATCAGAGCAATTTTTGAAAGCAGCCCATTTATGACATTTAATGACGATTTTGTTAAAAAATATCATTAGTTATTCCTGCAAAGAATGACCAATTCTCATCAGTTTTAGCAACATTTCCTCAACAGTTTATATGGGACGGGTGGGTGAAATTACATCTCAATGAAAAAAAGAAATCTGCCCATACATACATCGTATTCTTCAGGGCTACAGCAACACTACACTCCTTTACCTTTGTTTTATTAGACTGAGCCCAGGGCTCTCCTAAGAGGCCCATCTCTTCATAAGCACCTGGTAGCACCTGGGAGGCTTCTGTGCTCCCCTGCCTGCCCACCACAGCCTTGGTGTGGGCAGCTGGGATGTAAATGGACAGCAAAAGGTCTGACGGCAGCCGAGCCCGCCGGAGCCCCACTGAGGTGATACCTCTTCTGCTTCCCCTGCCAGGGCCATACCTGCTCCAGGCCAGAGATGTCATCGGGCAACAGCACCAACATGCTCAGCTCCCCGCTGGCGTACGGAAGCTCCAGGACCTTAATTTTCTCTGCAGCCAGCACCGCCAATTTGAAGGTACTGTTCTGACACATCATTTGCACAGGTCTGCTTTCTTGCTGCAAAAACAGAAACATGAGAGGATGTGACCGGGGGCAACTTTTTCTTTAGGCAGGCAAATGTACAAGCCCTTTGAAAGGGACAGGACTCGATTTTCAAGCATGTAGCCTTTCAAGAAGAGCTGTGTCTGCATTTTCCTCTCTTGCCTGCTGGTGTGCTCTAGTCAGACACAGCTCTTGCAAACTTGACACTGAGGGGCCCAGGTAAATCACCCAGCCAATGACCACAGAGTGTTGTATGTGTAACACCCAGCCTGCTGGCTGTGCAGACACAGACACAGGCTGTGTCTGTGCCCCCCTACCTTTGTCACACTGAAGGGAAATTCTTGAGTGTCATCTTCTTTAAATGCCTTCTTCCATATCCCTTTGAAGTAAATGGCATTCACAAGGACCAGCACAGTATCGAGATCCACAGAGCTTGGTTCAAGGAAATCTTGGATCTGTCCTTTAAGGAAGAAGCAGGGCAGAGAGCAGTAAGTTTCATAGCAGTAGTCTTGTGGTTTAGAGGTCAATCGACATGCTGCTGCTTGACTTGACTTCCTGCTCTTCAAAGGTCTGCATGTGGAATTCAGGTTCATGAGGATGATTTAATACAGAACAACTGGCACCTGGCCAGACATTTCTGCAAGAAGACAGGTAGGGTCAAGAATGGTTTCCTTCCCAGGAACATTTCTAACCGGTGCTTGGAAAAAGATTTTTATAGAAAAGAATGAACAGGAGAGGGAAGCAGTGGTATAGATTTTCTGTTTCTCACTGAGCTTCTTTCTCACACTTCAGTCTTGTTTTTCCTCCCACCTCAGCACCATAAATGTACACAAGCTCCTGAATCATTCCTTTCCCACCAGCAGCCTAGTGCATGCATTGCTTTCTCCCCTGGAAGCCCACCCATCCAGCACATCCTCATAAAATTATGCCAATTTTCTAGAGAAGCTGGGACTAACCTTGCATGAGTTACGCTCTCCAGACACAAAAAGTGCATATATAAAGTGTGCATATCCTGGCACTTCTACCTTTGCCAGATACGTTTAAAACACACTGTCATTGCCACACAGGTGCAATAGGGTCAGCTCTTTCCACAGGAAAGATCCACTAATGGGGATGGGAGGAGGAAATTTCTCCTCTAATGTTTAGTCCTTCCAGAAGTTGTTCAAATGCAGTTGTGAGAGGGAAGTATATTTCAAAATCTTGTCCAGCCATACCATTTGTCTGATTTTCCACCCAGGAATTAATGAGCTGTCTGGCTTGATCTGATGCTGTTTTGAAGTTGACCGTTTCCAGACCTGCTCTGTACAGTTTCTTCACACATTTTAAGTAGATCTGTAAAGACAGCAATTGTAGCCACCAAACTAGTCGTATTTTTAAAACAATATGAAGGTGAAATAAAATGTGGTTAAAAGGATCTTTATAGCGATGCCATGGTTAGGCTGTTCTCATTGCTTACTTCCTGGAACCTGCTAAAACTGGGCCAGAAAAATTATTCTGATCCATGACATTTTCAGATCTGACATTTTTATTACTTGACCAGTTAAGGGTATATATTAGAAATGTTTAAATATTTTCTTGAAGAAATCCTGATACAAAACCACTATTTTGGGTTCATTTCAGAGTGTTTTATCAACATTATGCCCACTACTTTTTTTTAAAAAAGCATTTTTCCATATTTTTAAAGATAAGAAATTGATTTAGAATATTTGTATGTTTTGTTTTGAAAATGTCAAATGAAAGATTTTGACACTTTCAAAAGTACTTTTTGAGGCAAGGTTTTCAAGTGAAGGAATGTTGCTGAAGTCAAATTATTTCCTGAAAAAAACCCCAAACAACCTATTAAAATCAAAAGGCTTTGGGGGAGCAAACAGGGAGGGGGGAATTACATTACCAAAGAGTTTTGTTTATTACTCCGTTCATTTTTTAATAGGGCCATCTTTTTTGCCTGGAATTGCTTTCCATTCAGGCTGTTTGTCAGGGCTGTGGCAAAGACAAAAGCCATGGAAGTCCACACCAGTGGGGACCACCTGATCTGGCCAGCCTGTCTGGATTACAGGTTTATACAGGGTTTAGCAAGAAATCACTCTAATGTGCAACTCACCGGTAGGATTGGACATGTCTTTTCAGCATAGAGTCTGTTGGCAATGTGGAGTGAATAATTGGCTTTTGGTGTGGTGATATCAGAGAGAAGTTCTTTAAACAGTATGTGGATATTCACAGACTTGCCACACTGAGTTGTTGATAAGAAGATAAAAAGGTATAGCTGTTAGCTTATTTTACTAGGAAAAGAATTATTTATAAGGTACAAATAACATGGGAAAACGCACAGTGTTTGGACATTTGCAAATGAACATGTACTACAGCGGAAAAGCTCCACGGGAGATGGGATGTTCAATATAAACAACTAATGATGCACAATTGACTCATGGCCTATGATGACACTCATTCTAGGTGACAACAAGCAGAAAACCTCAGTGATGAATCTGAAACCATATGGCTCAGGAGTGAGGTGACAAAAGAAAAATTCAGATGTCAATGATTGTGATTGGCAAGTTGTCATAGATATAGAGCCTCTAGTTCCCAGTTTCTGCCTGCATTTTCATGGCAGCTTTCTGCTGAAGCTGCAGATGGGAGAAGACTGCTAGATGGCAAGGGAGTCAGGAAGTGCCTCATAATATAGTGAAAAAACGGATCAGCTGTCTAATGCCCCAGGAATAGTGTTCTAGGTGACACAGGCTAAGAGCATGTAAGAAAAATGCACAATGATAAACAGTGGCTGGGACTTCATTTTATAAGGAGAATTGTGTTGAACTGCTTAACCAGCCACTAAATGCTCTACCTGTTACTACCTTTATTTTTCTCTGTTTAAAAAGAAAAAGTATTTTTGTTCTTTTCAAGTCCCACCTTGTGCTTGTGGATTCCAAGTGGATGGGGAAAGGCCAGGGAGCACAGCTTGTGTTATCTTTACAGCAGACTAACACGGAGGAAAGCACACAGGTGGTATCAAGGTACTGGGAGCCCTCATGGGGCTCTTGGGGCAACAGTGGGAATTGGAGGGTGGAAAAGTCCCTTTTGGAAGAGTGTGGTTACTCTTCAGCCTTCTGGGCTCTTTTCTGCTGAAGCATCTTCCTGCCCTGCTTTGGAGTCTCAGCTGCAAGCCTGACTGCTGTACCCTAGCTCCAGGTGCTGAGCCCATTTCAAGTGCTGTCCCGCAGAAGCACTTGCAGGTATGCAGATGCTCATCTACACAAGAAGGTAGCCTCATGTCCAAAGCATCCTATCCTGTCCTGTCACTTGTTCTGGTGCAACACGTGCAGCCCATCTTCTTTTTCTCTTTTGGGTTTTTGGGGGGTTGTGTTGGGGTTTTTTTAACTTACACCTCTTAAATTAAGAGCATTGGCAAAGGTTTGAGAAGGTGTTGAACCTACTTGAAGCACAGGCATAACAGTCTACTCTCAGGAGAAAAATGTGAAAGAGAAGTAAATGTACCTTAGATTTCTGTACCTTGGTCTGAATAGTTCCTCCAAGTCCTGCAATTTTGTCAAAGTGAAGAACCTGCAATTGAAAGTAGCAATAGAAGAAATTAAGTGCATGAAGTCCACTGAGAGTCACCAATGTTTGTGTTGAAACTATGGATTTGGACTAACCAGGTCTGATTAGCACAGAAATGAGATGAGAAATTTTATGTGAGCTTTAAATCAGTTTTTTTACTGCATGTGCCACATCGAAAATTTGTGACTAAAATCCTCAGCTTAAATACCCTCTTTTCCAGTTAACGGTATTCAGTTTATAAACCAGCTACAACCTTACTGTATTGTATTTTTAACTGTGACTCTTGTTTTCTGAATGTTTCATCTTTTGTATATTACAAGTTGTCCTTTCCATCTGAAAGGAATCAGGTCTGTGAGATAATATAAGCTGAAGCAAGAGACCTGTCTTAACCATTCTTCAAGACTGCTCTTTCTTAATGGAAATCAAAGGTCGTATTTGCCCTTCATGGTGAAAAAAAATGTTAAGTGAAAGCTCAGCTCCAGATCCAAACCTTGTGGTTTGGAATGCCATTCTTTTTCTAGGCTGGTTTGAATCCAGTGCCAAATGTGACTGCGTGACTTTCCCTCCTCAACTGGAGGAAGTCCCAAAGATGTAAATGGATATTCTGTTGCTGTGTTGAACAGGATCAAAAGGAGTTTGTATGCATTTATGTAACTTACCTTCTCCATCTGATGCTCAGTGTTACCTCTTGCTCCCAGATAAACCATGGCCAAGGCTGCAATGATGCTCAGGGGGGAATAGAAGATGTTGTCGTTGGCATGGTGGACTTTCAGCTCTTTGAATACATCAAAAGAAAATTCTGCATTTGCTGCACTGATGGAGCCCATTGTGAAATTGGTGTTGTCTGAAGCAAACAGAAATATGACTGTCTAGTGGTGATATGTAGCACTTGTTTTAAAAGGTACTGTCAATAGCCCAGAAACTGCTAGTTCATTGCTGGTTTTGTGATGCTGAACCAATGAATGATGCGAAGCCTACAAATTCTGTGATCATTAGAAATATTGTAACTCCTGACCCATTTATCTCTGAACGCATGTTTATTTTCTTTTAGCAAGATACTAGCTCATCGTCAAGATAGTATCTTGTACTTGCCTTTTAGGAAATAGATATTTTCATCCATGCTTCAGTATGATAAATATAACACTGTATGGTTGAGTTTCCCTATGGCCATCCAGAGGACTCTGAATGATGTTTGAGACAATGCAAAGTTCATACTTCATTTCTTCTGTGGCTGCTCTGGGCCATGCTCTGTATCTTTAAATTAAGTGTAGTCAACTCACTATACTCTTAGTGTACTTCTTACTGCTGCTTAGTACAACCAGGCACAAATTTAGTGGTGGCTTTCTCATAGTTTATAGGAATAACGGGAGTTAAGTTGCTCTGTAAACCCAGCCCATTGCTTAGGTGTTGAACTATAGATTTAGGGGGGTTCTTTCCTGTAGTCCCATTTTGGACACTTAATCTCTGCTGATGCTTTTTTTGCTGAGAAAAAGCACAAGCATATATATCATAAACACAGGTTTTAGCAGTACAGCTTGAAACAGCGTATAGCTGCATTCATTCAGTCAGGTGCAAGTCCTGTACATGCAAACGAATGTGACATGTTAAGGATATTCATTGAAACCTGCAGCCATTCTCTCTTTTCAATCTGAGACCAAGGAAGCTTCATACTGTTCTTGTATCTCTAAAACAGTTAAAGTTGGAGGAATAGCAGCATATCCATAGTTTGGAGCAGAGGTAGTTGATTAAGTGACCTGAGAGGCATCTGGTGCTAATGACTGTGGAACCACAGACTCTGTGAATCATCATACTGTACCTTACCTGTGCTGTCCAGAGAGTGAGACTGAGAAAAGAGAAATGCCTTTATTCCCAAAATAATTATTAAAATTCTAAAAGAACAGTTTTAATGCGACACCAGATTTTCAACAAAAAAGAGGTATTTCTACTGAAAGCTATGTTGTGCAAACACTCATATTTTTCACACCTAGAAGTATTTGACAGTCAAACAGTATAAGATATATTGACAAGGCAAGGTTAAATTACTGTATATGCTGTGTTTTTACATATCTGTCTTAGACTTACCTTAATGTTCTTAAACATAATATCACTTTTTTGCCATATTAAAGAAGACAAATTAGATATTATATTTTACTTGGAGAAATACTTACCCCCAAACTTCAAAGAGGCACTTAATAATCCAGCTTGCCAGCTGAACCTAAACAGATTCTCTGAGCTCTTGGTGATATATATTGTACCATTTGAGACACTCCCACTGTTAGCCTTCAAGGAGTCATCTTTTGAGCCGACCTTTTAGGTTACCTTTTGTCACGAGCATTTGATTCATTGCAATTTGAAACATTGACTAGACCCATGTTAGACTGGTACTCTGCCTGCAGCAAGTCAACCTTTTTTTATTGAAGTAAAACCTAATCAAAAAAATTAATTATTTAAGCTTTTGCTGTAACTTTTAAGGCTGTACCAAAGCAATTGGAGTTCAAATCTAAAACTGTGTTTCACACGGTTCTTTTGAATTTTCACATTAATGTGATTGGGCCATATTAGGTAACTACAGCCAAATTAAAAACAAACTGTCCTGGTTTTGGCTGGGACAGAGTTAATTTTCTTCCTGGTAGCTGGCATAGTGCTGTGCTTTGGATTTAGGATGAGAAGAATGTTGATAAAATATGTCATGTTTTAGTTGTTGCTAAGCAGTGCTTGCACTTAGTCAAGGGCTTTTCAGGTTCCCCTGCTCTGCCAGGGGCACAAGAAGCTGGGAGGGGGCACAGCCGGGACAGCTAACCCCAACTGGCCAGAGGGCTATTCCAGACCATAGGACGTCATGCACAGTATATAAACTGGGGGCACTTGGCTGGGGGGCATTGATGGCTGCTCAGGGACAGGCTGAGCATCGGTCAGCAGGTGGTGAGCAATTGCATTGTACATCTCTTGTTTTATATATTCTGTGTATTCTCTTACCCATGGGTTTTACTTTTTTCCAATTCTCTCCCCCATTGCACTGGGGGGGGGGGGAGGGGGGGGGGAGCGAGCGGCTGTGTGGTGTTCAGCTGCCTGCTGGGTTAAACGACAACACTAATGCAAAAAACTGAGGGGAAACAGTGGTACAAATATATCCAGCAAAACATAATACATTTTTAATAAACCTAGCTGTAACATCAGATCAGGTGATTCTCACAGTCAAGCAAGGCTAAAGATCCCAAAATATTACAGGAAAATAAGACCTAGTCATACTGCAGTGACCTGGGAGTGAGCAAACAGTTCCCACCACAGTCCATCGTTAGTGAGCACCCATGGATATAGCTGAGGAAAGAGTCTTATATCACCAGGGAGTGCAAGAAAGTGCCTGAAAAACCTAGCTGTCTCTCTTCCCATCTATGAGGCATTTTAAGTACAGAGAGCACTGTAACACAGTGCTCCCACCCAGAGTGAATGTGGATGGTGGGCTAACTGCTGAAGGCCTGATACACGTGCAACAATTCACTACAGTAGTTGTGCAGTGGAACAGAGGGAAGTTCCTCATGGACAGTCACCATCTGACGTTGCCAAAATAATGCAATTCCAAGCAGAGCCAGCTGCAGGACGGTCATTCTAGTCGGAGGGTTTTGAAATGGATTTTTTTCCATGTAAGAACAAATCCAAACCTTTCTGTTTATTTTTCAAGATGAAAATAGTATTGAAAGGTGTTTTGGTCTGCCAAAATGCAGAAATATGTTCCTGGAGCCCAAGGGTCAGTGTGGTTTATAGCTTGTACTTCTTAAAAGCACAGACACATCTATTTCTGCACATAGGTGAGACCAAAGTTTTTTTACCTGAGGTCAAAATATAGGGTCTACATCATACATGTGGAGGGGGGGAGAAGGGCTCTGAGGAGAAGGCATGTTTTGCTAAAACTTCATTTTGATGAAAACGTTGAGAGCAACAGTGTTGAGATGAGTTAGAGGTTTGAGGGTGAGCAAGGCAGAGGAAGAGAATTGAGGAACAGTCAGGAATTACAGATTTTCTGGGCTGTAAGGCAGACCCCAAAGTATTCAGATATTCAGAAATGGATTTTAACCAGCCAGTAGGATTTAAAGGATGATTGAGGGTCAGCTTTTAATTTTCATTCTCTGCAGGTCATGGCAACAAGGCCCATGGTACACTCACAGGCCATTCTCATCTATCTTCCATACCTACTTTTTTACTATGGCAGGTGAATGAACTACAGAATCTGTCTGCAGGAACATTCATGGTCTGTTAGACAATCATAATGCACAATATCAATTGTAAAAAGCTATTACTCTTTATTGAATAATAGACTTGATGAGCAGTAAAGAAACAAATCTGGCATCTGGAAAGGCCAAAAGGGTGGATAATAGAAATCCCAAATTTGTACATATTAAGTCACAGAGCATACGGCAGCAGTAGGTGCACCCTCTGTGAAAGGGAAAG